GGGACAAACCTCCTATAGTACCCAGCCAGGCCCAGGAAAGCTCTGACCTGGTGTGTTCGGGTGTTAAAGGGAAAAACAAAACCAAAAACATGCAAAACACAACAAGCAAGAAAAAGAAAAACAATCATATTTTCCCTTGTGCAACACTAGGCTAAGGGAAAGAACACTCCAATTGTGTCTTTAATTTCTTGATTCGAAGTTATAATCTCCAGTAGTTGAAATGAGTTTTCAAGGCTTGGATTGCTTCCAGGAGGTTAGTTTCAGAAGTCTGGGAGCTAACGTTAACCTCCTCCATCTGCTCGGTTTCCACTTCGCTGCTAGGGTCGCCTTCGGATCCCTCTTTGCTGGCTTTTAATTTGTGTTTACTCAGCATCTTGAATTGAATCTCTAGCTTGTCCCAGGGAGTTTGTACGTACAAAAAATATTTTAGCAGTGGTCTGGATATCTCTATATACAGGGTATATTGATCGAAGCTCGAGCAAATCAATGATGGGTAGAAAATCTATTCAATGGATTTTGTGACTGTGTTGTAATGGTTGGATCTGTGGATCCATTTTCTTTGGTTGGGTGAACAAAATCCTGCCTAAGATTAGCAATCAGTCGCACTGCTGGCGGATATTTAGTGAAACACGGAGCAGAAAACTGACGTCTCCTCACATCCATTGGGTGGCACAGAAACAGTGTCAGCAAAGCGACCTGCTTCCCTAGAACCAGGATCAGCAAAGCAACGCGTTTCCCTAGAACCAGGATCAGCAAAGCGACCCGTTTCTCTGGAACCAGGATCAGCAAAGCAACGCGTTTCCCTAGAACCAGGATCAGCAAAGCGACCCGTTTCTCTGGAACCAGGATCAGCAAAGTGACCCGTTTCTCTGGAACCAGGATCAGCAAAGTGACCCGTTTCTCTGGAACCAGTTTCAGCAAGTTTTCAGAGGGATACCAGCATGGATTTAGAAGAGACATTCTGGTAACCAGTACCTCAGTGTTGCTGTTCGGCTCATGGTCTTAAAAACTGTACCTACCCTCTCACCAACTTTTCGGAGAGCTGAAACTGGTCCCTTGCTCACCAAGTACTCCTCAGGCTGTAGAGCCAATCTTGCAATTTGCTGAGCATTTTCAGACTTTAAAGTTTCGTTCTGCCGGCTAATGCGCTCGATCTCCTCACAGTCTCTCTAGTACCGTCTCAGGAGATCGCCCAACTCCTCTGAAAGACTCTGCAAGTCTTCAGATCGCTTTTCAATGGACAGATGTGCCCTTGTCAAGATTATCCGATGCCTCATCTTTGTTTCAGAGTCTGTCGAGCTACTTCCAGGCAGTGTACCTCAACTCTCATGTTCAAGCTGTATGTTTTCCTGCTCTTCACGAAGAGACATGATTTGAGATTGAAGTACATTGTTCTCACTCGCTATCATGTTATATTTAGCTTGCAAGACCGATTGCCTGATTCTCCTGCCAGGTTGGGAGCATTCGACGGTCCGTCTCAGATCTTTCACCAACTGGCGGAGTTTGTCGTTTTCTATCTCCAGTGTTTCACAGGTGATGTCAGAAGAACTTTCGTCCATCAGCAGGCTACCCTGATCTTCAGGCATAGATGGATATCCACTATTTGCCAATTTGTTAAATTAATCCAACTGTCCTCGAGAAATTACACAATAAAACACTCCTTCAGTCTTGGTTAGCACACATGAGTTACTCTTTTGAGCCAGTAGAAGCCTGTTGTGTGTGGGTGTGTATCCTGTATTTGATGCATCGTGGGGACTCACTGCTCCCAAAGAAGAATTGCTGTTTTTGGGTTCGGGGCAAGGTTTAGGTCCAAGGTGTGAATCCAGTTTTGGTTAGAGTTGGGGTGAATGGAAGTCAATGGAAAGTTTCCACAAAGACAGCGAGACAAAACATGTGTTTGTGTGTGATTCTGTTTTTACCTTCTTTGGTAAGACACCAGCTATTGTGGGGAACCAAAAAAAAGCTTCTCCAGACTCTGAACAGTTTCTTCTTACCTTTATCACAGCTTCATCACACTCTAACATGAATGTGCGCATATGCAGTTGCATATGTCTTAAGACAAGGTGGATTGGCAACCACCGAAAAGAGGTTTAAATAAAATTTGGATTCTTTTTTAGTTGAGCACACTTAATAGAGGTCTAAGTTTCTCATTTTAAATGACAAAAACCAAAAATGAGTTAAAGCAAATTTACTGTGACTTTGCCAACATCAGGATTCAGGTTAGTGCCGTTACTCAGATATAACAGAAGACATAGGTAAAACAAATGTGTAGAAGACAAGCAATAAACGTGTATTCCTACATTTTGAAGAATTTTATCTAATTGAAAATTGAATAATAAATACTGATAATTTATTGTGGAGCTGTGGGTTTTGTAGAGAATTTTTGACTGTAGAACATATTAAGATGTCTTTGCCGATTTCTTGTTTATTTGGAGTTACGTCTGTAAAGAAAAGGAAAAACTTGGATGAGGAAAAGTGAGAAGAAAACAGAGGCGAGTCTCTCCAACACATAAAAGCTGATTGAATCTGCAGCAAGCATCGTGATGAAAGGCGGCTTCCTGTCACCTCCTGTTCTGGACCTCTGCACTCATTTCATTATGGCACAGTGCCATGCAAGATGTTGTGCGTCTTCTGTCAAACCAGGATTACGCTGTGTGACCTACAACATGGCAGAGCATCTGAAAACATATAGGCAGCATGCAAAGATATGCAAGCTATTCATATTTTTCAAAACCTTCTTAAATAAAAAAACATTTACCATGTTCCCATGTTAAATTTTTATGTATTCAATTTGTATTTTATGGGACAGACCAAAACCAAATTGAGGGGAAATAAGTCATTTGTCATATATTTAATTTTACATCATTACAAAAAAAAATCTGCAAAAAAATATATCCTATTTTCATCTTCAAAGTGTTTGTATAAACCATCTGAAGTGTTCCATTTTTTTTCTGGCAATTGTCTTCCAATACAATTCTGCTCATTTCTAATCTCTTCAGTGTGCTGTCTGGGATTTCTCCCATTGAGCTAAATTTCTTCAGTTTTAAAATCACAATGTCTCCACAGAAGTTTGTAGTTTGGCCATTGCAACAGAAGAAATAAATAAAGCCATTCAGTCTGCGGGCAGGTTTTTAAAAACGAGCTTATAAAAGTTAACAATTTATTAAAAATTAATCACAAAAAAAAAAGATGCAGGCAAGAATGTGCGGCAGAGTCAATGGGTAAGTTTGTGTAAGGAAGGATGGACTCTTAGCTAGCCCAAGAGGGGGCGCGGTCCTCTCCGGCACTCAGTCCCTCCCGTCGCCAGCCGACCGATCCCAAGCAGCACCAGCAGCAGGACCCTCTGCGGCCCACGGGCGAATCTCGGTGGCGATCTGGCCACTCGTGCTCCAACACCCGGTCGTCCGTTCCTCGATGGTGACCAATTGGACGAATCTCTGCGGCAACCAGTCCTCCAGTCCCGCCGCTCCTACACCTGTAATCTGTCCGGTTTCGTCTCTCACTTCTACTGCACAGCCACCTCTTTATCACCGGCTTCCTGGTCTGCACGCTGTTTAACTAATAGAGAACTCCTGTGCCGCTGCAGTGGGGTTCTCCGGGTATGAGTGGTCACCTCAAAAGCAAAACAAAACAAAACAAAAAAAAAACATGCAACACAACAAACCAAAAAAATAACCCAAAATGAATCTAATAAGAAAAGTAAATTACTTCAAAATATTACAAACAATCCAAATACAATGTAAGAAACATGAAATTAACTTGAAAATAGGAAAACGAGGCCACATTACCACAGTAACAGCAATCAGGAGTAAAGCTGTGGAGAAATTTAAGTCATGGTTAGGGTATTAAAAAAACACCTTAAGAATTGGCTGTGTCATTCAGTGGACAGGAAACATGGTCAGACCTGATGGGAAAATGAGTGCAGCTCAGTTTGCTTCAATAATATGACTCAAACGGCAGTAAAAGGGTTTCATCAAATGGTCCAGTCAAAGCCCGGACTCCAATCTAATTGGCCAAGTCAATGCTCACAGATGTTCTCTAGACGTAGCAAGGGAGAGTATGTTACTCTTTATTGCACAAACGTTGATTAGTTGTTCTTTTGGCTCCTGTGTACCTCCAGAGGTTTGCAGTGAACAAAGCAAATGGGTTAAGTGAACATGTGTAACAGAGTCAATCACACTGGAATCAGGATCTGAGTCAGTTTATTCCTACAAGACAGTGTGAGACACACTCAACGATCGGGTCTAGTACACGGTCACAGTCAGATCCCTGCAGCCCAACAAACACATTTTGGAGGGAAAACTTCAGACAAACTTTATAAAAGCAACAGTTCAATTTTAACTAAACCCAAAGTTTTTAAAACACTTAAAAACGATTAACATTACATTTTTATGCCACACGCAAACTGTGAGAACTACTTTTAACTTTATAAACATTACTGAGAGTGAGAGGTAGCATTAGCACGCATCTTACCAGCAGCTCAGTTAGGCAGCTTCTGCTTGGCTACTGCAGTTACTCACAGAATCTTGCTTTGTGCAACACTAATAACCGTCCTCCCAGAACAATATTAGGAGCCAAAAATAAAAGCAGTATAAAAGAGAAATAAACCTGCTGCAGTGCAAAGGCGACAACAGACATGTCAATTCTAAGAAAATGAGTTTTGAGAAGGAAAAAATTATTTAAAAAAAATAAGAAAAATAATAAAGTAAAGTTTATTTATATAGCACCTTTCACAGACATGAAAATCACTAAGTGCTTTACAAAAATGGAAACACATCAATAATAAAAAAATCTAAAATCAGTGAACAAAAATAAATAAATAAAATTAACTCAGCTACACATCCATCCCTCTGTCTGTGCTCATCCCAGGCAGGGCCTACCCAAGCCTCCATGAGGCCCTAAGCGAAATTTAGTTTTAGGGCCCTCTAGTTCTGCTAAAAATGTGGACTGGCTGCAATCAGCAGTCCGATCATTAGATCATTCACACACTTGCTATAAACTTATTGAATCTCTGGCAGTGCTGTT